TCATGCAATGGCGGAGGATAAGCCAAACTCATGTGGATTCTATAAAACACGACACAGAGCAGCCTGAATCAGCAGTGTGGGGCTTTCCCCTGCCCCCAAACGCTGCCTCGCTCCTCCCGACTCAATGTGGGGGGCACAGCTTGGGCAGCCCTGCACCGGTGGGGGTATGCGTGCATCCATGCCCCCCACGCAGCCCGGCTGCCTTCATGGGACGCTGCACCCACCCATGGGGTGCTGTGGTACCCCGCTCCCCACAGCCACATCGCCTCTGGCAGCAGGGGGGAGGCTTCTGCAGACAACACTGTTCAAGACGCCTTTCCCTAAAAGCCGTTTCCCTGAAGATTTCCGCTGCCCCGGCACACGCGGCGTGACTCATCCTTGTATTTGCACGTTTTGCAGCTTCCTTTTGTGTTTGCCATACTTTGCTGGAGAAAATGAGATTATTCCTGTTTTGCTGGAAGGCCTTACAGTGCCGTGGCTCAGTGCATCTTGGGAGAATACTGCTATGTCTCCGGCAACTGCAGTTTGGAGACAGGAGTTTCTTGGTACTACAGAGAGACTTTATGAGCATTTGTGTTTGCTTGGTGGAGGAAAATTGGCAGGGAAAACGTAAAATTATGAGCCTGTGCAAAGCTGATACGAGACCTCTTCGTGAGTATTTCAAAGGGCTCTACTAAAACCAATCAAATTTCGGAGCAAACATCCTGCAAAAAACTCAGAAGATGCATTTAGGATCAGCTACCTAGAGATTGATGATCCACTGTGCCATGCCTGGCCCCCTCTGCTCTCCTGGGGAGGCTGCCAGGCCTCACGACCGGGCTGAGCCCATCCTTCCTCAGGGACTGCGATGCAGCTGAGCCCCCCAACCAGCTGCTGCCGCAGCTGGAGAGCGGCAGCACGGTGCTCTCCGGTGGCACAGCAATCGGCAAAGGTGAGCTGGGGGGGGTCGTGACACCATCGCAGCAAATCTTCCTCTGCACGGCGCCTGTGGCCGCCTCTGCTGAAGTTACCATCACCAGAGCCCGTTCATTTTACGGTTTTACACAGTTTTGAGTTCCAGTTGGGATGGAAGAGAAGCGAAACCAGAGCAGCCCAATAGATAGCAAGGAATTACATTTACAGCAAGTCCACATTTACTCACAGAAATCTGATTAACTAGGTTCTAAACAGTTTTACTTAAATCTCTTAAGTTTCCATCTGAATAAGGTCTTTGAAAGCAAACAGATGTTACCACTGCACGCTTGGCTGCGGAAACAAGGTACCACATCCCACAGATCCGCTCTGACTGTCCGCAGCAAATGCTAATTTGAGGTAGCATAGCCTTGATGAAAGGGGAAAAAAAAAGGAATTAGCTAAAGGAGCATCCATCCCAGTGCGTCAGGGGGATGAGATTTTTATTTAGATGCTTTAATTAACCAAACACCACCTCCTTGCGTAAGCAGCTTCTCACTGCTCCAGGGGCTGGAGGGCGTTCAGGCGCAGGACGGCCGTATCCGTGGCCGCTTTGTTAGGATCATTACCCCTCTCCTGCTCCACACACGTAAACACCGCAGACCTGCCAAGCTGAAACAACGTCCCGGCTGGGTCACTTCAGGTAAAGCCAACAGGATGTGCAGTGGCTTCCCTTCCCTCGGCAGCAGCACAAACAGCCCCAGCGCCCCGCCGGGAGCCGGTGCCCATGGCCAGATGCACCCTGTCCATCAGCGGTGGCGGCTGGCACCCTCTCAACAAGAATCTTCCCCCCCCCCGCCGTTGCTAAATGACACGCGACGCCCAGTCGCTCGATTGCCTTACAAAGGAAAGCCCAGGCTCGGCGGGGGTGCAGCTGCCTGGTTTATTTTTGTCATCCTTTGGATGTTTCTTCATGTGCTGACTTCAAGAAAGTTGTTAATAAGATAGGCTTCAATTTTAAAGAGCAGCGTAAGGGAAAGCAAGCTGCCTGCCCCAAGCCAGTTGCCTCCAGTGGAAGGGGGGGGAAAGCCCTCAGGGACGGGGTTGGGCTCCGAAGCCCAGAAACAGACCTGAACATTGCTGGAGACCAAGGACGGAGGAAAGTGGGGTTGGGGATTTCTAGAGAAGTGCTTCCAGGGGGTCTGGGGAAGGACGTCCTGCCCAGCACCTCTGCTGCTTTTTCCACTGGCTTCGGTTGAGTTGGAGAAGAAGGTGGCTTGTCCCTTAGCGCTACAACAGCTTTCATGGTATAGCCCTAAAGTCCTAAGTAACCCCCCCCCCAAGCTGCTCGTTAGGCCAGAGCTAGTTAGCAACAAT